TAACTGCCTACAATTTACTTTAACCTCACGTAACAGTTCACTGGGTACTGGTAAAGTACTATATGTAATACCGTCACTAATAGCACGGCTTGCAGCTCGATCAGCCTCCTCGTTACCCATGATGCCTGTATAAGAAAGTATCCAATGGAAGATGGCCACCTTATTTAATGCAGTAAGCTTACATATGGAATCTAGTATACTATAGGCTATCGGAAGCCGAGCCAAATGTAACACGGCGCTCTTATAATCGGATAATATGACAAATTGATTGCAATTCAACGTTGTAACCAGTGACGTAGCTATGCATCCAAGGGCCCCGGGGCGAAAATGTAATTTGGGCCCTATTTGAACTAAACTAAATTATTTAAATGTGCAAACTACTATGTAGTATGTGTAACGCTGCTGATACTATTTAATCGTGTCTCCTCATATATATATATATATATATATATATATATATATATATATATATATATATATATACCATAAACATTCACGCCTGTCATCCAGAGGGATAGGCAGGGACTACAGACTTCCATTTAGCAGGATCCTGACATACCTCTCTCGCCTCCTCCACATCCTTATACCTACGCATACATGCTCGTTGGTTAAGGGTACTCTTAATTTGGACCATTTTTAATATATCGCCAATTTGATCGACAAACTATCGCCTAGGACGTCCCTTTCCGACTCTTCCATTCACTTCTGCAACATATATTTGCTTTGTCAGTCTTTCCTCATTCATTCTTTCTACATGACCAGACCACTGAAGCATTCCTTTCTTAATCCCGGTAACCGCATCATCTTGCAAACCACACTTTTCTCTTATCACACAGTTTCTCACCTTGTCACTCAGATTCAGCCCTAACATAATCCTTAGCGACCACATTTCTACTGCATTTATTCTACTCTCGTGCTTCTTCTGCCACATCCAACTTTTAATACCATACGTTAAAGTAGGGACTAATACAGCACTGTGAATAGCTATAAGTGCCTTTTTTGACACATTCTGACTTTTCACAATAGAGTGTAAAGCCCCATTTACTTTATTTACTGCATTCACTCGTCGCTCTATATCCTTATTATATCTCCCATCCCTGCTGAATACACATACACATCCCAAATATACAAACTCATCTACTTGCTCGACCATCTCCCCATCTATTTTTATTTCACATATCGTTTTACTTTCTTCTCTTACAAAAACCATAACTTTTGTCTTACTTGCATTCACTTTCATTCCCATTTCTTTAAATGACCTGTTCATTATTGTAAAAATTATTTGCAACTCAACTGCCGACGACGCAAGTATGGCTTAATCATCGGCTTACAAAAGGCATTTGCCGGTTAACTCACACATTCTAAGCCCAAACCGCTATATGTAGAAATCTGAAAATGGGACAGTAACTGGCTTTTATAACTTAGGCATCCACAAAGAAAGGGTAAAGGAAAATTCAACCTCTAAGGGAATGGAATAGGTGATACAGTTTGTATGAAACTTATTATTTTACGGGGCGATTGACTTGAAACTTACTTACAGCTATATTATGATTGTCACGAATAGGTCGGATGGACCGATGCAGGACCACGCTCTCACAGAATATCAGCGTGATGTTGCTATGTTTCGAATGAAAATGAAAAATATTATATCATGACGCTCATCCCGAAAAACTAGACGTAGAAATCTGATAGTAGCTGCCTTTTATGACGTAAGCATCCACTAAGAAAGAATTTCGGAAAATTTAACCCTTAGTAAGAGAGGCGATACCGTCTAGTGGCGGTGCAAGCATATCCACTACTACCTCATATCATCCCGCGGGTGTCGTAAGAGGCGACAGTGGGAAACAAAACAGGAGATGGGAACAAAATATAAAAAAAGAAGCCCCACTTTTCCGAACTTCCTTTTTATTTTTTTAAAAAAAAAAACAAAAAAAAACCTTCATTTTCTTTTTTTTTTAATTTTTTTTTTTGTTTGGTGGGGGGGTTCCAATAATAAAAAACTCATTTTCTTTCTTTTTTTTTTTTTTTTTTTTTTAATAAAAATAAAAATAATAAAAAAAAAAAAATAATACAAAAACCACAATTTACTTTAATTTATTTCTTTTTTATAATTATTTAAAAGGCCCCCCAACACACAAAAAAAAAATAAAAAAAATAAAAAAAAAACCCCCCTACCGCAGCGTCTTCCTAATAACGACGTACGCATTAACTACGATTAGGGTTACCAGATGACAGGAATTTTCCTGACATGTCCATAAATAGCACTATACAAATAGTCGTTAATTTTATTCCTCTTTTAGGGAAACAGGGAAAATTTGAAACTCTTGAGAATTTATAAATAGAAAGAGAAAAATATAAAAAGTACAAATTAAAATATTTCTTAAACAGTTTAAGCACAAAAAATTACAATAAATGAATCCAATCTCAACAATAACCCTGTTTCGTTCATATGATCTGGCTCGTCCTTTTTATTGCTGAATATTGCGCATAATATGTGAAGCACATGCGCGAGTTTTTTATAATTAGATATTTTTGCTGCCTCCTCATCAAGGAAAAGTTAGGGATTTTGCCAGGAAAACTAATTTTCGGATCTGGTAGCCGTAACTACTATAGGATTTTGAAAAATTTAAATCCTCAGGGTATGAGTTACAGTTTGTACGATACATTTTATTTTACGGGGTGATTGACTGTTGAGTACTACTACTCTGCTGATAAAATAAATGAATGGGTAGTTTTCGATTTTTTAAAACAACCCTTTACCTATTTACTTCTTTTAAATTACGCAATCACCACGCAACGGATTTTAAAATCGTTTTTCACTGCCATTTAGAGATTTTTTACTGAAGTTTATTATTTATAATACATTCTAATTAACTTTGAACAATAAAAAGTGTTTAATATTTGGTATTTATAAGTCGTCAAAAAATCACTAAACTTTAAAGAGATACATTAAAATAATGTACTAAGGAATCGTATTTCTTCAAAAAGTCTAGACTAAAAGTCCACGATAGTATAATAATTTATTAATTATTTATCTTCTTAATTTGACTAACCGTAACTATAATATTGTTACGCGCTTCAATGCCTCAAATCGGCGCACTAACGCCATCTAGTCTCGAACCGAAGAACTAAACTTCTTGAAGTTTGAAACTCGAACTCTCGGTACCTTGCGCGTGTTTACTTGAACATTCTGGATATTTTGCTAATTTATATAAGTAGGCGCTGCAAGATGCGATCGAGGTAGACTTGAACTCGGCGACACAAGCGAAGCTTCGGAGCGGAATTAAGTGAATTAGTGTGTTTAATTATTAGTGTTTTAATTTGTGTAAAGTAAATTAAAGTGTTAATTTAGGTAATTTTATCGGCAATTTTTATTGTCACGAACCCTAAGCTCGTAACAATATTTATCTTTGAATTATTATGAACAGTGCTTTTTTAAATATAAATGACATCACATGTAATATACACCCGTTTGGAGCCGGGGCGGGTTACTAGTAATTTTATAAACGTGAAAGTTTGTTTGTTACGGTTTCACGTAAAAACTTCTTTATGGATTTGGATAAAAGTTCACCTCGTCATCACCGTTTCAGCCCAAGAAAAGAGTCAGGGTTTAATAAAGGAAGGAATTTTCAATGTTGGTCCATACCAGGTGAACGTAGTCGCGGGATAGTAAAATAAACATTGACGAAGTAGAGTACAGTTAATAATACAGCTATTTAGATAATAAAACTAAGTAGACAATTTCATTTTAACAATGATGTTTAATATTCTGAAGGTGGAAGAAATTTTTGTGGTTTGTTTCTCAAGGTCCAAAAAAGTAAAAAAATCGATTATTTTTAAATTCAATTACAATATTATTTGTACAATTTTTTCAAACGTCGTTCATGGAGGCTGAGGGGCCCCTTGAGCTTGGGGGCCCCGGGGCACTGCCCCGCCTAGCCCCAAGGTAGCTACGCCACTGGTTGTAACGTACGATAAAGCCTCGGATATCGCGATCAGTTCACAGTGCATTGTAGAAACGTCAGCCCTTATTTTAAATTTTATTTATTTATTTATTTAATTAATTTACACATAACTTAATCTAAATACATTTAGTGACAGTGTGACATAAACCAGCATTGGTTTTACCGCACACTGCGATTCGACATCTGTCGCTCGAACAGAACTAAGTAATATTCATTCTTAACTACCTACTTACACATTAATTGCGCGATGTGATTACTGCGCACGCTATTTGACCAATCAACACGCATAACATATATTATGCACCTCTAACTCCAAAAGCCAGAGTAACTCGTTTGGGTTTGTAGATTCACACGGGTGACATTTTTTGTACAATTTTTTTTATACTTTACGCTAGTAATGCTAAAGATAAATAGTGCTGTTTAAGTTTATTTTTGATCTTTACTTTAGTAATTTGGCCTTTAACTGTTGTAGGTAACTCGTTTATCAGTTTTGGTATTAGATATTGTAACATTGCTTTTCCGTATAAATTTTTATAACTCGGTAAATTAAGAATGGCATTAGAGGCACTTCGTTTTACTGCTGCGGTAGGTAAATGTTTTAAACTGTCAATAAAGAAATGACCGCAGAGCAGTATATATTTCACTTTGTCGTATATAGGTATGGTGTTGCATTGATAAAAAAGTTGGTGGTAATTATTTTTATATTTGTTTTTTATATTCGTAGGTACGATAGTTTTTAAAAGTCTGACTTGGAGATTATATATTTGATCAAGATGTGGTTGGCTTTTTTGGTTGAAATCCGTATTGTTTGTTAGTGATAATGTTATTATTTGTATAAAACGTCTTAATTTGTTTCGCAATGGCTTTTTCAACTATTTTGTCAATAGCAGAGAGAATAGTTATTGGGCGATAGTTTTTGTAGATGTTATGGCTTCCTTTTTTGTGTATTGGCCTAATATTCCCGTTTTCAACTCATTAGGATACTTACCTTGTCTAACGGTTTCGTTTATAAAATGAGCAATGACGTCGGCTATTTTAATTCCAATGGTCTTTAGGTCCTGCGCTCATCATCTTAAATGTAAGTTTCGGTGTCTTTACTGTTGTGTAAAATTTTATTGAAAAGTACGGTTCATTCGTTTGTTCGTCGGCGTAGACCGCATCTATGACGCCAACATAATATGTCCACTTTTTTTTAATATAATATTTTACCAAAACATGGTCATTCACAGAATAGCTTTCATATTCCTGCTCCATATAACTATTCTCATTACTTATAAATTCTATTTTACTTATGTTTTCAGTCTCTTCGTTTTGGAGTAAGGTCTCCTCAGTCTGTTCGTATTCGTGCTCCGTATCATTATTATTACTTATAATATTTGATTTATTTATATTTTTGGTCTCTTCGTCTTGTATTAAAATTTTCTCCTTTGTCTGTCCTAGATTAATATAGTCTGATAACTTTGTGTCTCCTAAAAAGCTATGGTATTCATCGTTACTTTCATAATCAGATACAGCATTTATTATGTCGGAATCGCTATGAGAACTAATTGTTCCAGATACACTAGTAGTTGAACTTGTGGAAGACATTTCATGTTTCTTCTGTTTTCGATATCCGAGAAATTTAAAATCATCATAGGTATCTTCTTTATCATCGTGAGGGGATAGTCTTTTATTTTCTTTACCAATACTCTTTTTGCTCTTTTTTCCGATTCCTTTGCCTTTCGGTGTTATAGTAGTTGTTTTCTTTTTTATTATTAATTTCAAATGATGCAGCAAATCTGTTAATAAATCTTCTTTTTCTAGGCGTATTCACTTTATGAATGCCCGAAGGTCCAGGTTCTGTTAATAAGCGTTCCTCATCAGGCACTGTTGGACTATTAAGTACAAAGTTTGACAAAATGTTTATCTTAGGAGAGTCGACTATTTGATTTTTTAAACAATGAGGAAGGTCTTCAACTTTCTCCACGATAAATGGTTGGAACTCAGTGTTACTTTTTAGGGTTTTACTTAGCATAACGACATCATCGGTACGTTTAGGTACAGGACTGGATCGGCTCTTTCGTTTTCCAAAATTTTCTTTCTTAATATTTTTAAGTAGTTTTTCTTTTTTTCAACCGTATGACGTCGTTATGAGTTATGACTTCAGCACCTGGTGCCACCCTGCTGCGTTTTATTTTTTCAGAGTTATCACCACGCTTTACTTTTTGCAAAAGTAGTTCCTCAAATGTGACATTCTTCTCTTCAATAGGCTGTCTTAAATCTAAGTTATTGCTGCTGTCATCAATATCATTATTCATCAACATTAATTTTCCAGTCTTCATATAACCTGGGTTATCTGTCGCTATAAAGTTCTGATTGAAAACATTTAAAGCTATGAAAAGCAATGTATGCGGTTCTTTTCTCTGGATCACATCATTGACTGGAAGGTCATTATAAGACAAAGCAGGATTATTAGTTCTTATGTGTTCCTTCCAGTGGTTCAACTTCAGAGCATCGAATTTTGTTTCCTCAACTGCAGCAGGATTAAAAGGCCAAATGCCACCTTTTTTGAATCCGTTAGATAATATTTGCGGATCTATTTGAGCCCATACTGGTCCAATCATTCGTGAAAATTCTTTTTTTGACAATGGTACCCCATAATGAAGTCGCTGCCATTTGACGAGTTCAACGTCCCATCTATCTTTAAATGATTTCATAACCGAAATGTCTAACGGCTGTAATATATGGCTTGTATATAGGTAGTTTTAATATAGTAATATTTTCTTTTCGTGCTTCTTCAATTAAACTCAAACCCACATGGGTTGAGTGGCCGTCATAAATAAGTAGACTGGATGTTGATCGTCAATCTTCGGCAAAAAAGATTTTTTAAAGAAGGCTTCAAATACTTCTGTCTGCATCCAGCCATTTTTTGTGGCGGCATATGTCGTACCTTGAAATGCATCAGGCGAAGTCCACTCGTTCCAAACATATTTTCCTTTGAAGACAATCAGGAGAGGTGTTTTTTCTCCAATCGCACTTGCACCTAGTAACACCGTCGTATTATCTCTCCCAGGTGTTGCTATAACTCTCGTTGCTGCATGGCCTTTGAGACCTACAATTTTGGTTTTCGAAGGGTCTTTTGAAAAACTGGTCTCATCTAAGTTCCAGATTGCAGTAGGCTTGTCTGCTAAACCTAATTCCACTATAGTTGTTTTGAGTAAATCAAAGTACTCATAAACCACAAATGGATCAACCGCTGTTTTCCGAGCGTATTCAAGAGCCTGTGGTTTTTTAACCGAAAGGTTATGTCGATTTTGAAATGAGGCCAACCAGTCCTTTCCCGGTATTCCATTTTTAAAACAAGTTGATAGATTGTTCTGTTTTACATATTCTCCAACCATCTGGGAAACTTCTGTCCTACTAAGGCCAAAACCATATTTTTCCAATGTACGGAGGCAGGAAGCGAGATTTTGTTCAATCAACAAAGGCAGAGTAGTTTTTCTCCCTAGTGTACTTGAAGAACTTTTTTTGTGGACATGGTCCATGATGGTCATCCGTGGAATTTGGTAGAGTTGCGCTGCTTTATATCCAGTTAATGTACCATTTCGGACTGCCAGTACAGCTGCATGCAACTTATCCTTGCTATAGGAACTCTTTGTTGTTTTTCTTTTATAATTTCTCACCATGATTACTATTATTTTAGTAATTATGACAAAACTGAAAACAAACAAAATAATTAATAATATTAATAAACATTTTATCTGAGCATAGGCCTAGTATTAGTTATAACTAAAGCAGGAACATAACTATCATATTCTGAGTTTAAAACATTTCGGCATTATGTTATACTTGTAAGCGCCATATTCACGGGTAAAATGGGCAACTAGCATCAATTGGGTATTTGAAATAAGAAAAAAAAACGCCTGCCGGAGTCGCGTGACTGTCTAAACAGGTAAACGCGACCCGGGAACGCAAAGGTCAACTGTCAGAACGTTTTGAATTGTAGTCAGTACGAGTCGGACAGTCCCTGGCTCGGGTGAGTATTATGAGTATCATACACTCACCAGAGCCAGGGCTCTGTAGTATAGACTAACTTCTGTCTGAGCTAGTCTAGACTACAAAAGTTTGCTACGATGAGTAAAAATTGCCAAAGTGACGTCACACCCGATCGGATTTTGTTCGGGATCTGTCGACATGTTTTTGGTTCGAGGTACAAATAATGATTTTGAATTTAACATAAATTCTTAGTTAGACCGAAAAAAAACTAAGAACAGTTTGTAATGAAATAAATACCTAATTTTCATACAAATACATAATCTTACTAATCAATTAAACACAAAAAAAAATAATATTTTAAAGACCCAATTGTTAGTTACCAGTGGACTTTCAAAGTAGGTACAAAACTAAAAATAGGAAGGATGAAAAAGGTTGACTACATCTGCAATGGGGTAATTCCGGTATATGACGATTTAGCCCCTTCAAAATTAGACGGATTTCCCCACTTGAACATTTTGAGGTTACGTATTTTTTATAAAAAATATTTCTGTATCTACTGGTTTATATTCAAAACAAATTAAAAAAATCCGTTGAAACACTTATTAAACTACATGTTATGCATAGTCAGAAAGTCGTAACTTGTAAAATTGAATATTTTCCTTAAAAGAAACGACGGCACGCAACACTTGAGCTTCGAGTTCGTAGCACAACTAAACTTCGAATGCATTTTTTGACAATTGTAGACAACCCTGCTCCATCTATGAATCATAGTTAGAACTAAAAACTAATCCTGTTTTATCGACCGAACCAGTAACAGCGTAACTATTCTGGAATGAATAGTAAACGCATGTGTATGGAATAGCCCCGTAGACGGATTTGCCCACATTGACCTTAATAAATTTTCCGTATTATTATAATCTAACGACAACAACCAATCTCGAACTCTAATTTTACACTCATGTTTTGAAAGGGGATAGAAATTTAGAATTTTGTTAAGTTTGTTATAGAGTACTATAGAGAGATATGCGCTTTGCCGTCTAGCAAAAGCAGTGCGACATCTGAACAGTGCCAGTACGTTGGGTATTCTACGTTTGTTACGACAGATCTCAGGGTCGTAGGGAGTGCGATCGTGTTGCTTGGTGATTAAATACTGAACGTATAATTGCCTGACAGACAGCAACTTACATTCGCTGTATAATAATTTTGTTGAGTATCTATAAGGTTTAAAAGTCATAGTTTTTAGTAAACATCTTTGTGCTCTTTCGAGTTTAATTAAAAAACTTTTGCACGATCCTCCCCAGACACTTATGCAATAGCCTATAATTGATTGTGCTAAAGCAAAGTATATTGTGCGCAATAAATCAAAATCAGCAATGTGTCTTAGCTTTTTAAATGTCCAAATAAGTATACGAGTCCGGGATGAAATAAGATCAATGTGTGGGAGCCAGCTAAGTCTTTCGTCTAACAACACACCAAGGTATTTTACAGTTTTAGATTTAGTTATATTAAGGCAAGAGCATTTGTCTGTTGACTTTAAATCACAAAAATGTACCTTCAGTTCTATATCCTCAACAGCTGGAGTATTGGTAATACGGAACTGTAAGTACGTTGATTTAGATACGTTTAGTGTTAGTAAACTGTCCTCAAGCCATTGTGCCACACATTGGAGACCCCTTTCAGCAATCACCTGAACGTCAGCCCAAGTCTCTCCATAAAATATTATAGCCGTATCATCGGCATAAGTGAATAATTTGCCATTTATTAATGACATACGACAAAGGTCATCAATATAAATTAAAAAGAGACTTGGCCCTAGGATACTTCCTTGAGGGACACCAAAAGTGACATTAGCATCAGAACTGATGAAGTTTTTAATCTTAACTCTCTGCACTCGGTGACTTAAGAAGCTTTTAAAAATAGAGAGGGCCGAATTTCTAATTCCGATATTTTCCAACTTGTGTACAAGAATGGAAATCGAAACAGTGTCGAAAGCCTTGGCTAAATCAAGAAAAACTCCCAAACATTTTTTTTGTTGATCTAACTTATTGGTTACAAATTCAGTCAAGCCTTTTACCGCGTCTTCTGTGCTAATACCCGTTCTGAAACCGAATTGCGCGCTTGATAAAATATTGTATTTAGTCAAGAATTTCACCAAACGGTTATTCAACAGCCTTTCCAGTATTTTCGAAAGAGCTGGCAGCACAGAGATAGGTCTATAGTTTTCGACACTGTCTCGAGCTCCACTCTTGTAAACAGGAGTAATGAGAGACCTCTTGAACACGCTTGGAAAGCATCCTTGTTCAAAACAAATTTTAAAGAGGTTGGTAAGCGGTACTATAATTATATCTTTTATCATTTTAAGAAACACGGCAGAGATAGAATCCCAGCCAACAGCACAATCATTTTTAAGACTTAACAAAGTAGATTCTACCTCCGTCTCATCTGGTGGATAAAGCACAAAAGAGTTAAGAGATTTGTGATTCGAACTTGTAGCCGTATGTTGACCACGATTTGCAATTATTTTATCTGCTAATTTTCTACCGAGATTAGAAAAATAATGATTCACTCTTTCAACTGAAACCGTAGGATTTTCCCTAATTAGATTATCGGCGTAATTATTTATATTATTACATCCTGAGATAGATTTAATGACAGACCAAGTTTCTTTACTGCTTTTAATATAGTTACATACTTATCTGAAATGAACTTCAAATCTATTAGAACGGCAATTCAGAACAAAAACTGTCGCGGCTGTGGATAGAGAAGGCGCGGGCGCCGCCCTAGCCGGGCGAGTAGGTTGCACGGTAAATACCTATTCCACGTAGTTATATTTCACTTATGACAGTTATCTACTGTTTTTAGGAAAACGAAATAAAGTTACAAAGTTACATACTTATCTGAAATAAACTTCAAATCTACTAGAACGGCAATTCGGAACAAAAACTGTCGCGGCTTTAGATAAGGAAGGCGCGAGCGCCGCGCTGGCTGGGCGAGTAGCTTGCACGGTAAATACCTATTCCACGTAGTTATATTTCACTTATGACAGTTATCTACCGTTTATAGGCAAACGAAATAAAGTTACATAGTTACATACTTATCTGAAATGAACTTCATCACATTGACAAAGTGCGCACATAAATAATGATAGCGTTTTCTTAAGGCCTGTATTAACTTTGATTAGAGTAGGTGCTTAGTGATTAGGAGTAAACACGCATGGACAGTGATTGATTAGAGTAAGTGATTAGTAATCTGCGTAGTAAAGTGATTAGAAGCGCGTTCTATTTTTTTGCGAGTGGACTGCGAGTATCCACCTCCCCTGCATCCTCCCTTCCCCCTCTCTCGTACTATATCCTTCGCTAAACACGTCTGGACAACAGTGTAGTGTATTTAACGTTTAGAGTCAGACGCTAGCTTGTGTTAGAAAAAATGACAAAGTGGACAGAAGACATAACTTATAAATTTGTGCAGGAATATCTAAAAAATGAATGTCTGCTACAATAGTAATTACCCTAACTGCAAAATTAAAGAAGCTCAATGTGTGGCATTTCTAAGTATAAGTGAAGCTATGAACATACCGGGGTTCAGAAGTAAAGAAGTTTATACTAAAATAATGTTACGATCTTAGGGGATTCGTGACAGTAAAAACTGCCGATTGAATTACCAAAATTGACAATTTAATTACCGAACACCAATTAAAACTTAAAACACACTAATAATTAATCATACTTAAAACTTTTACTACTTCTGACTTCCGTTGGCGCTACAACCCTTTGTGGGTCTTGGCCTCCACCACAATCTTCCTCCAGTTGTCACGCTGCCTGGCTACCTTCTTCCAGCTGGTAAACGTTCCCATCTTCCTGAGATCTTCTTCCACACAGTCACACCAACGCTTTTTAGGCCTGCCTCTCGGTCTCTTTTGTTGCAGCGTCCACTTTTACATTATTTTTAAGGCTTTTGTGTCCGGCATTCTTTCAAGGTGATTCACCCATCTCAGTCACTGCGACTTACAGAACCTGACGATGTTCTCGTGCCCGATAAGTGCGTCCAGTTCATGGTTCATGCGTTGACGATAGATAAGCGGGCTACATACGACATGATATCGGTGGCGATCTAGGGTGGAGTAGTGGGGATGCCTCCTAGATTGCCTCTAAATAGTGTCGTATGTAGGGCCATCCTAAGTCGTGGCCGATATCGCCTCCTTAATCGGCTGGCAGGAGCAAAAATGCAGCCGATGCTTCCTAGATCGGGGCCCCGCCCCCTCCGTACTGCGTGTGTGTAGGCGCATCGGCCCGATTTCTTTTGCCAGTCGCTGCCAGCAGCCCTCGCGGAACGACGTTAACGAAACAGTAATACTGAATGACCTTTACATAACAAAATTTTAACATTTTAAACATGTGAACTGAGTAGAAGCCTATGGCACTGATATTTTACAAAAAAACAAAAAAAAATTGAATAAATAAATTAATTAAAATCTATCGAAATTCAAATCATATCCACCCTAGCCTGTGACCTTGCGAAGTCAAGAATGCCTACCAAACTAATTGTTTTATTGCCGTTCATAAAGTAGCGTGTATGAAGTAAGTAAGGAGAAGATTAAGCCTCTCCTCAACAACTAACTCCTATTCCAACGCTATCAACACAAGACCACAGTTAGATCTCTTACGTGCCTTCATCCTCTCATCAACAACTAACTCCTACTCCTTCACCATCTCCACATCAACAAACAAGCTATATAGAAGGGAGTATGTCCGAAATTAAAGGTTTCTTTATGTTTAAAAAAAAGATATAAGCTATTTTATTTTTTGATAGTTTTAATCCATAAATAAAGATTACATTAAAAAAAGTATACATATTATTATACAAAAGTATTTTATTTCTTTGTTTGTTGTGTGTAGTACATAACCCGATTTTGACCAAAGCAGAAATGAACAAAGAGAAGAAATAACTAATGTTTTTATATAAGTTGCGAAATCATAAATATAGAAAAATTCTAGAAGGTTGTAAAAACTGTCTTCATCCATCCGGAGAAAATTAATCATGTCTTTGGATTACAGACCATTTAGTACGTTTATGTGGCTTAATTTTTGTCTCTTTTGGAGCCATTTTTCACCCAGCAACTCCTCTTTTTCTATTTTCGAATAAATTAACCGAGAGGGCTAATTCCAAACCAACACGTTGGTGTTTTAAGAGAGTCGGAGGCATATTGAAGAACTATACCGCATATGCGTTCCGCTCCAAGTCCAAACGCGTTCTGCTAGGCAGGCCCGTGTGTAGGGTCTGCCTCGATAAAAGCCCCGATTTCTTTCCACCCTAGATCGCCACCGATATCGTCTCGTATGTAGCCCGCAATACAGTCACGCTCTTTTATGAGGCCATAGATTTTTCTCAGTACTTTCCTTTCGAACACGGCAAGCTTCAGTTCGTCTCTCTAGGTTAAAGTCCAGGTTTCACAGGCGTAAGTTACAACAGGCCTGATGATGGTGTAGTAGATGGTGAGTTTCGACTTCACACTAAGCAGCTTAGAACCCAGGAGTTTGGCACACGCGTAATAGCATTTGTGCCCAGCAACTATCCGTGCTCTAATCTCTTCGTCAGATCTATTTTGCGAGGTAATCGTTGCTCCTAGATACTTGAAGCTGCTCACGACTATAGACGATAGTGCGTCTCCTTGTTTCACTCCCGAACGGATCTCAAAAGGCTCGGACAGGTCATTCTGTATGGCTACAACAGCTTTAGAGTGCTTTAACGTGGCTTCGACAAGCCTAACCAATTTACTGGGCACGCCCAAATGAAGCATGCTGGCGAGTATTTGTGTACGGTTCACACTGTCAAATGCCTGCTTGAAATCCACAAATTTTAAGCAGGCAAGTCAGTGGATTTCACTTAAAACTTTAGTTCACTTTATTTCGCTCCAAAGTCTTCACTTGTATCGTCACTTCAATACTGCCCCTGTCGCGGTCCTAAACGCCTTTATATAGGACCTTTTCCACTGAAACATTTCAAGCGTTCAAGCACATACCGGTCCCAACCGACTAAGTGGATAAAGTTCTCTTCTAGTTCTGCCACTTGATACTAGATGGCGCTAGAGGTGGAAAGTTCTGTCGTGGCATTTTCTAGAAAGCTCTTCTCGCTCTGCTACCCGACACTAGATGGCGCTAGGGGCATTAATTATGGCTTGTAACAATAAGAAACTTGAGATCTACATATTCGCTAGAGGATAAGAAAGTTAAACAGAATGCTGGTCAACGGCTAACAACTGAATTTATTAAACACAGCCACTAAACAGAATTAGACACTACCTACACTACACATCTGCATTAATCACCCGCAATTACTAATCACCTGCACTCGCACTAATCAAAGTGAATACAGGCCTTATGTCACATTAAACAAAATTAGTATTAGATTGTCAAAAATAACGGCCGCAGTTTCCTTAGAAAACAAAGAACTAGTCTTGCCAGCTTGCCGTCGCGTCGACTAAAGGAAATACGGAGAAATGACCGTACATAGAAGTCTTCAGTTAATGGTGTTAATACAACTGTCGACATTTTACTATTTATTTGTTTTCGAACAGATACACACAGTCATAAGTACCCTTACGTGGTAGAGTCACGCTACAGCCTACAGCTATACTGTGGTCCTTAGCACTAATGGGTCGGCTTGATCGGAAGTGACCACATTCTCACAGAATACCAGCGTAAATTACCTACTTAATGCTGTTGCTGCTATGTTTCGTATAGTTAAGAGTAGACCCTTTTTACTGGAAATGAGGCATTCCATCTTAGTTCTCAGGAGAGACAATGCATCTGCAATTTGATACTTAACCAAGGATATATGTAGTGTCTATAGGCCACAGTATCAACTTAGTATCAGGTGGACTATGTCCGTTTGTCAACCCCAATTTCTCTAAAAAGAGTACATACTAAAAAAACAATAGTACTACCTACCAGACTAGGATAATAATAATTTTTATTTAATTTTAACTAAAAATATAGCAAGATCTGACAGTGGTTCTGCTAACACAGTTGAACAAACATCTAAAATACTTTTTCTTTAACACGTCACCCTCTTAATTACCTCTTAATAAGATGGAACTCTACAACAATTGTCGAGTTCACATATTTTTTTAAAATTGCGTTGGATATTGGTTCAACCGCTCATCATCAAAATCATTTTCCATGTCTTCTTTGTCATGTATTTAGATTAAAGAATAATTTAAAAATATATGATATCCCTTTAAAAAAACAAACCTAAATATGAAAAGAGGGCCAAGTTATTATATACCAACAATGTTTGGTTGAGATTTTAATGGGTGGGAAACTCCATAGCAGTTCTGGTAATCATAAAGGTATGTACTAGTAATGTACAATGTTCTTCAACTGATTTTAAAGAGGAATTGTTTTTTTTATAGGTATTAAATTTATGACTTGCAAGTTTAATAAGGATTAAATTACATTTAAGTGTTCGTGTCTAGGTCTTGTAATCATATACTGCAATGAGTCTTATGATACTTTTGTGTATGCTGATTCCAAGATAACACATTCCGAGACAAGAATCCAAAGTTGTCGGCAAAAGAAACTGCTTGCTATTTTGTTGCTAGTTCCAAAGTGATAAATAAAAAGTTATAATAATTTTATTTTACATTTATTAAAAGCTTTCATTCCTTACAACTAAACATTTAAAAAAGAAATACCAACACAATTATGGTCAATAAATAATTAACTACTCAAACATCCTGCTGTGCTATTAGGTATTATTGAAAGTTCACACTTGTGTCAGCTCATGCTCCACAGCTAATTGTACATTCTTAAACCTGTCAATCAACACTTCATAGTGCCATCTATATGTGGCTATACTACTTCAAAGAAAAGCTTTAATAAATATATATTTTTCAGTCGCTGTTGAGAGATAGAACTTTTAAAGGGTTTTGGACCTCACAACTTATGTTCTAGTCCTTATAGATAGCACTTAGTATTCATGAAGATAACTTGATATTTACTTTCTAAAGATACTTGCGAAGCTACAGATGTTTAAGTGGATAAGAAACAACATGTGTAATTGAGTTTTGGAAATACTTTAGTCCCAATTATATTATAACAAGCTTACTAAATATGAAATTATAAATCATTAACATCAATTTCATCATCACTGTTAGGACTATATGTTTCTTCTGGTAAGCGTACCTCTCCACAAAACATGAGCTCTACATAGTTAAAATAATCCAAAGCTATATTAGTTAGAGTTGCTCCTGTAGCAACACCCAACATTGTACCGATAAATGGTCTTTGACCTATTGAGCTTCTTAAGATAGCCCATAAGAAAATGGAGCCTAGGGGCCAAAGGCATCCACCAAGAAGCGCCCATGAGAAGCGTCTTGCAGGTGCAGCAGTTGCAATGTGAGGTCTTGCCCATAGCCAAAGACCAGCACCACTACTCGCAGACAAGAATAACACATCAGTCACATCACGTTGTGGGAATAACCTGCAATTAAAAGTTTAATATAAATTCTTGGTGCCCAACACAGTTATATACACTTAAGTTTTAATTTTATAAGAGTAGTAATGAATATTCAGTTTTAAAAGGGATAATTAAGATACCAAACTACTGCTTAAATTATTTTGGTGGAGTAATTTGATAAATAAATAAAAGAAAAACAAACATACCTGACCATTAAATGGGGATTCATTACACTTACTGACAATGTAGTGTAGCTAACAATGCCTTGCAAAGGCAAATAATAAAATAATACATTGTCTTTTGTAAAAGGCGGTATCTTTATTTTATTTACCGACTTGTTGAAATATTCGATTGTTCTGGGGACCATCACCGGAACACTAGAGATTTGTCGTTTAAAGTTCGTGTATATCTTTTCCCAAACCTCCATTTTTAAAGGTACTTGTTTTTAATTTGATCCAAATTAACAAGGTTACGTTGCTACATATTAGTTGGCAATGGCTGTATAGTTATTTATACTGTTTGCAATAATCATTACGTAGTCGCTGAAAACTATTCATCAGAATCATAGATAAATAAATATGTAGCAAGCTATAAATATGTAACAAGCTATAAATATGATCAGAATAATAGATAAATAAATATATCCTAAAACATTACAGTTACACAGAGCATATACACCTCGATATACCTATATACCATAGATTTAGTCATGGAGGTTTGAAAACAGGAGAACGATCGCTACCACGCTACGTTAGTAGGTACTCCTCTTTTTGTGGTACTCTTATTAGCGTAGACAGAGAAACCTATAGACTAATGCAGACTAATAATTAGCGTGGCCTCGAATGAGAACGGACGATAACGTAGTTTTAGGTTATACAATAATCTTTATGACTTTTAAACATATTTAGATAACATTTTTAATTGTTCTAAGAACTGAACTGAACAAGATTCACCAATCTTAAGCTCACAAAACACTTTTTTTTTCACTTAAACCAACTTGTAAACTCCTTAGATCGCTACGAACTGTTAAAGTTGTTTAGCAAAGTGTAGTTTGCTAAATAAAAAAAACCGGCACGAAGAAAGGGATAAACTGCTCTGTCATCTGACACTGCTCTGTCATCTGACACTGCTCTGTCTCACTCCTATACAAGACGTATGCATAAATCTATATTTTTCGTGAGCCAATGCGAAAGAAGGCGTCAATTTGTCTATAGGTTTCTCTGTCTACGCTTATTAGTTTATGATCGCTACCTACTAAAGCATAGTCCTTCTATCCCTGAAAATTTGTAGACTTTATAGGCGCGCTGCCGTCGGTAAGTAGTGTCTGCAAAGTAATTTTTAAATTTTTGACAAGAAGAAACATTAAAAAATTATAAATGTAACAGCCAGGAATTCACTGGTTCACTTTATTTTATTACATACTTATTAGCATTTTATAATCACATAAACTACAATAAATATTAATAAAAATCAATAATAATTTATATTTATAATATTTATAATAATTAATGTTATTGAAACAACTTAGCGATCGCAGCGCCTCACTTATTTTATCCATATTTCTGGGACACTATTTTATACAGCGATCGATCTCCTTTTAGTACTCACTGACGTTAGTGGTCTTTGCAAAGTTTGACATCTGGTGTCAAATTCTATACATTTTTTGGTTCGCACATTTTCCGCGGGACTTCTTTCGTTAAACGGATTCTACTGGATGTTCGACCATCGACATCGACGATCTTCGACGTTAAAAATTAAAACATCAATGCCGTCACATGTCAAACATTGATGTCAATGAACCCATCATCGATTAATAGGAACATCTGAAAAACGCGAACCCGTGAAATCTGATTCAACAAAATCTTGCATCTTCTATTAAAGGTTTAAAATTTAGAATAACTCATCACGCATCGATCACCTAAAAAAAATGTGTGTCAAGTGTGAATTGTAATGTCACAGTTGCCACTGCTTTCGCTTTGTTATTCTGTAGTAACGTAGTCGGTTGTCGCCTATAACAACTATTTTACGTAAATTGATATTCAAATAAATTGTTTTCCCTTGCTGTCTATACTCACATAATTTTGAAACAATATATAAGTAATGATTTCTTATATTTACGCGAACACTACACATTGAAATAATACTAATTTTTACGGAATTTATCGCGTATATTTAACTTTTTTACCCGACGTTTCGAGAGCTTTACAGCACCCATGGTCACGGGAAGGACCTTCCCGTGACCATGGGTGCTGTAAAGCTCGAAATGTAAAGTAAAAAAAAAATTTCAATATATAAGTATCTACACAATTCAATTATATTTAGTGCTTGAACTTAAAGTTTATGAAACTAGATCACTGAACTAGCGTGAGCATAGACAATTTCACTGCATAGTGCATTCGACATTGCATTTTATAAACGGTTGTGGATACCTACTGCTTGGGCTGTCTGATTAAAATTTGTGAACAAAGGTAACGGAAAAGTCTATTATTTTGTTTTTGCGTGGTTTGTTAATTTTTTCTCTAAAACCATATTTTTTCTTTCGTGATAAAAGTAGTTGATATAAAAACTAAGTCCAAGTCGTAAATTAGGTCCCATAGTAAATTTTTTCATACCAGATTTGTGAATGTGTGGAACATTTAAAAATCAAGATAGTAACATACATCACGATCGGCAAGAAATATTAGACTATAATATTATAACAAATGAACTAGATATTTGTTAACTTCTTCCCGTTTTTTAAATTTCTGGCACTAAACCATAAATCACATAACAATTTTTTATTTCTCAGTTATTAAATCGTAGACAGAGAAACCTATAGACTAATGATTAGCGTGGCCTCGAGTGAGAAAGGACGATAACGTAGTTTTAGGTTATACAATAATCTTTATGACTTTTAAACACATATAGATAAAAAATTTATTTGTTGTAAAAACTGAACTGAACAATATTCACCAATCTTAAGCTCATAAAACACTTTTTTCTCACTTAAACCAACTTGTAAACTCCTTAGATCACTACGAACTGTCAAAGTTGTTTAGCAAAGTGTAATTTGCTAAACAAAAAAAAACCGGCACGGAGAAAGGGACAAACAATCACACCGCTCTGTCTCATTTCTATGCAAGACGTATGCACAAATCTATCTTTTTCGTGTGCGAATGCGAAAGAAGGCGTCACTTTGTCTATAGGTTTCTCTGTCTACGTATTAAATAAGCTTGTACACGTGCAAAAACATTGATAATGGCCAACATCGATGTTATGAGCAGGATAAACATCGAAAATCATTGAAAGCTATCGATACTAACATCGGATGTTATCATCGATGTTTCTGCAACATCTATCATCCCTATAATACATCTTTTCTGTCTATGATTCCTATATGGAGTGTAGAAGTAAGGAGCACCAACTCCCATAGGAGAATAGTTGAAAAAGTGTCCACTTGTAAGCAGTAAATAACAGCAGTAAAATACGTTGAGAGTTTTTTGAAAACTAAAATTTTGAAAGCAATAAAATAATTTTTGTAAAAAGAACTATGGTGAGTGTGTGCAATAAAAAATTTATAAAAATTTCTTTAAAATTTAGACCGTAGCTACAGTGGCGCTACCCTTATTTAACGCTTTCCTACTGCTCTAACTACTTCAAAGCATCCTTCATGCTTCAAAGCTTCAAATGTGGAGTGTAGAAGTAAGAAGAACAATCTCTCATAGGAGAATAGTTGAAAAAGTGTCCCTCTGTAAGCAATAAATAACAGTTCAAAAACTCTCCACAACAGCGCTGGAGTAGCTACAGGAAACAGCTACATGAAATGAACTTATCGACGGTGTGAAGTGTGCTGCTAAGCTGCTCAGTAGCCCTAAAATCTAAAATAATTTCATTTAGTAAATACAACCTCGAAAAAGTCATCAATCCCATTAATATTTTTCGACGCGTTCTTTAAAATTTACCACGTAGCTGTATTGGCGCCACCCTAATTTAACGGTTTTCTATGGACACTTTTTAATACACAGTCTGTACTTCTTACCTCTACACTCCATGGCTTCAAACTTTCAAACTCTCTATAATATTAAAAAATATATATATATATATATATATATATATATATATATATATATATATATATTCAGTAATCTATGGAGTTTTGGCGGGAACTTGGCCGTAGACGGATTGTCGCTCCTGTTTTGTTGCTTGAACAATGGTTTGAAATGGATTTTGATTCGTAAAAGTGACGCGATTTTGTGAATTAAGTGTCTAACTATTAGAGAAAACGACGAAACAAGTGCTTTGATGGCGATATAAACCTCAAGTTATTTTGATCGCTTGGGCACCTTATGAACTTGAGTGGCTGTCGTCATCAACTATCCGCTAAGTTGAGTTGTCGTCAAAATCTTCTAAGGGCTTCACAATGTGACGCATCAGCATATTGTGAAGAAAAAGAACATAAAATGAAGATTACAAAAGGAATGATAGGCTCAGAAGGTCTAGAAACCAGAGCCGTAAAGCCAGTTAATAAAAAAAATCAGTAATCTATGGGTATGTTCCGAAATACAACCTAGTACACTGGCCATTGCAAATGATGTCATAAATCGACGCCATATTGGTGATTCGTTGTATTGAATATTATTGTGGAATACGCCGTCAAATAACGACGTCATTTGCATTGCTATGTTCCGAAATACAACCCAGTACACTGTTAAATGCTAATGACGTCATCAATTGACACTATATTGTACTGGCGTGCCGCCGTCATATTGCGTCGGATATCCTGCCACAATAAAACAATTTTTAATTGTGTGTGCGCTGAATGAAGCATGCCAGAATTTGTTTCTATTTATTCAAATACAAAAAATTATAGAATAATTGCTGGTATATCCATTAGGAGGATATAATGATTTTTGGATCACAAAATGACAAAATAATCGCCAACACTTTTCGAAATGGCGCAAAAGTATGACGTCATGTACTGGCCAATGTTTTGGAACGAATCACCGGCGTCGATTCATGACGTCATTTACATTGGACAGTACACAGCGTTGTATTTCGGAACTTAAGCATAACATACCCCATGGGTATGTTCCGAAATACAACGCAGTGTACTGTCCAATGCAAATGACGTTCATTTGACACTTTAATGTACTAGCATGCCGCCGCCATATTGTGTCGGATATCCGGCTATAATAAAACAATTTTTAATTGTGTGTTTGCCGAATGAAGCATGCCATAATTTGTTTCTATTTATTCAAATACAAAAAATTAAAGAACAATTGGTGGTATATCCATTAGGAGGATATAATGATTTTTGGAGCACAAAATGACAAAATAATCGCCAACACTTTTCCAAATGGCGCAAAAGTATGACGTCATATACTGTCCAATGTTTTGGAACGAATCACCAGTATAGCGTCGATTCATGACGTCATTTGCATTGGACAGTACACTGCGTTGTATTTCGGAACATACCCCCTATGCAGTGTTGCCATATATACAGATTTCCCCGTATTTATACAGATTTTCGGTTTGTGATACAGATTAGCACTGGATACAGATTTTTATACAGAGTTTTCCGTAGACAGAGAAACTATAGACAAATTGACGCCTTCGTGATTCTATTATTTATGGTTAATTTATTTTTTCACAACGTATAATTATTTAGTACGGCAGACATACAAGTGTATTATATAATATGTATATATAAAATATGTATGACTGAAAATAATAAATTAATTAAATGTTCGTTTGTTGCAAATGTTTGAGTTTTAATACGTTGTTTGTCTAAATTAATGTGTTCAATTTTGCTATGTAATTTTTTTTGTGTATAGTGTATATTTTATACTTGGTAGAGCCACGCTGCAGCTATATTATGGTTGCAGCACGAATGAGTCAGCTCGACCGGGGAAGGACCACGCTCTCACAGAATACCAGCGTAAATTACCAGCTTAATACTGCTGTGCTTCGTACAGTGAGTGTAAAGATCCGGAGACCCTTTTTTACTGGAAACGAGGGATTCCATCTTAGTCCTCAGGCGTGACAACGCATCTGCGTTTTGATTCTTAAGCGAGGATAAATGTAGATGTCTATGGGCCACAGCATCCCCTTATTCTATAAAAATATTTTTATTTAATAACGGTAATCAAACTTTATCAGCTTATCACGTTAGTAGTTATTCCTTGTTTTTCAAAAGAAGCAATGATGATGATCAATTATTCTAGTTTGGTTTATTATATTATACAGATTTTATACAGATTTTAAGTTTAAATAGCATACAGATTTAATACAGATTTTAGCAGTTTCTAATACAGATAAAAGGTTCAAGGCATCTGGCAACACTGCTCCTATGTTTCAAACCTTCAACTTCAAATGACTTTTGTGTTGAAAATTGAAATTGATAATGAAAATTTGAAAAATGTTCAACAAATTACTTTTTTATAACCTTACACAGTTTTTTAAGATAAATCGAACTCTATCTACAAGGCAACTGTTGGTTCTAAGCAAAAGAAAATATTCTGAAGTCCTAATACTAGGATTAGAGACATCTTGCGACGACACCGGTTGCGCAATCGTAAATAATAAAGGCGAATTATTAGCTGAGTCCCTACATTCACAGAATTTAATGCATTTGCGAAATGGAGGCATAATTCCAGATATTGCACGAGATTTACATTCTATGTTTGTTGAACCAGTCGTAACCGAAACACTCAGAAATGCAAAAGTATCAATGGATTCTATTGTAGCTTTAGCAGTGACTGTAAAACCGGGGCTTCCTCTTAGTCTTGTAGTGGGAATGAAGTATGCGAAATATTTAGCCCGGAAATATAATAAGCCAATAATTCCTATCCACCACATGGAAGCTCATGCGTTAGCTGTTAGAATGCAACATAACATAACATTTCCATATTTAACATTGCTGATATCCGGTGGACACTGTTTGTTGGCTGTTGTTCAAGATGTTACACATTTTAAATTACTTGGTGAAAGTATAGATATGGGACCTGGTGAAATGTTTGATAAAGTAGCGAGAAGAATGAAATTAAGAAATATTCCTGAATATTCAAAAATGTGTGGAGGACAAGCAGTTGAAATAGCAGCATCCAAAGCTACTAATCCCCAAATTTTTAAACTTCCGTTGCCTCTAAGTGATTATAAAGATTGTAATTTTAGTTTTAATGGCCTGAAAACATCGGTGCTATTGAATCTGCACAGAAAAGAAAGTGAACACAATATAACTGCAGACAAATTAATACCAGAGGTAAATGATTTATGTGCAGCTATGTTAATGGCTACATCTAGACATTTAGTTCATCGGACTCAGAGAGCTATGGAGTTTTGCCACCAAAATAATTTAATACCTGATAATAATAAACAACTCGTAGTGTCAGGTGGAGTTGCATGTAATAATTATATTTTTAACACCCTTACATTGTTGTGCGATGAATTTAATTATAACATCTATAGGCCATCACCAAAATTATGTACAGATAATGGTGTAATGATTGCATGGAATGGTTTAGAAAAATGGAGGAAAAGTTTAGATATTGTAAGTGATTTAAATACGATAGACATTGAAGGTACTAGTCAATTAGGTGAAAGTCTTATATCAAGAGTTGCAGAAGCAAGAATACCTGTAAAATTAATGAAAATAAAAGTAAGGGCTTAATATTTGTTTTTCTTTTTAGTTAATCAAATGTAATGACATGAAAAAATATTATATCAATAATTTACTTTTCTGGTTTAAAATTTGTAAAAGCAATTGAGGAAGTTTTTCCTTTTTGTAGTTTTAAAAATATTTAAAAGTAATATTTGATTTGTTTTATAATATGATTGTTATATACAACATGTAACATAATTACTGAACTTTGAGAAAGTAGTTTGTTCAGAATCTTTTACTGAATCGATTCCTATCATTTTTAATATAGGTAATTTTTTATCCCAAAAATAATTAAAACCACGTAAATTACAGTCACACTAAATCTGTACAGTCAAAACAAACTGAAATGGACCGTAACTTAAGGCAATAAGACTTTTAAGAGTACAGTTTTATTTGTATTATTACTAATTCGGTCATTTAATAAAAATAAAGAAAAATGAACTTTACTTTATTTCAAGAGTGTTAAAGTCTTTACGTTCGTGTTTCTTTTCGTTCGTTTATATTGTGACCACAACATTCTCCCGGAATTAGTATAACTAATTTGATAAATAATCGGTGCATAAAAATGTTTAACTAAAAATTCAGTGTATGTATTATAATTATAACATAATATACTAATTGGGGTGTCTGAGGGTGTGCGTTAATTATGTTACATATTGTATAACATATCAGTTATTACTCGGAAATTAAGAAGATATGGATCTATTATGAGTAAAAGTCATGATATTTTAATGGTGGTGATGGTGAAGGGGTAGTTGTAAAACTTCTTGAGCAATCTGTCATACAATTATTTAAGATGGAGGATCCCTATGGAGGGAGGAGTTCCCTCCTCTACAGGGAGATGAGTATCAGTATTGCGAGGCCCCGCTCTCCCTACCCTCCGCAGCTGAATCTTGGTTGGTGGCGGAGCCATAGGCCAAATCCACCGCTGGTGTCAGGAGGGCTAGGGCTGCTTCAGAGTGCATATTTTTCCTGGCCCTGTCGGGCGTCTGTTGTGCACGTGAAAATGGAGGCCGCAAAGGAGGGTGTGCCATGTATTCTGGTGTGCCTTACCTGAGAAGGAGAAGGGGGAAGAGTAGTCTCTACGAGAAGGGGGGAACGCAAACATCCGCGGATGTTTGCGTTTCCCGTTAAGCATTCCCGTTGCCCTGCTAATATGTGTCATAGGTGGAACTTCACAGGGTTTAAGTCGTAGTGAAACCGACATAACTCCTTGCCACCGCGAGGCAGGTATGAGTAGGCATTTCCCAATGTAAAAAAAGGGAAAGGTTCAAGCATTTTCTCCAAATGCAAATCTTACCTGCACAAGGTACGCCCTGCTGACTGACAAGGTTGTTAAGTCAGGGAATGGAAGACGTAAAGTACCAATTAATTAAAAGTCTTATTTTTACTATCTATTTATTTGCTCTGTACCAAAATTAAAGAAAGATCAACACAAAAAATACTTGTGGTACTTGCGATATCATTTATTGAGAATATTATAGCAAATTTCATTCTGTACATAAGTGGTGCTTGCATAGGCAAGCTCAGCGCCCCGTCAAACATTGCGCCCTAACTTCTTTAGCTTGTGGGTTAATCAGGTCCTGGATGCAGATGTCTAAAGGCAGTCTTTTGTGGCACTCCTATGTATATAAGGGCTTTATTTCAACAATCAAATCTAGGTATAGCAAATTTTTTTTGAAACATGATAAGTGGCATTGATATAACCATTGACTAGTTTATAAAGAAACATTTTATCAAGCAGCTTTCTGTTTAGCAGAGTAAGCAGTCAGGGAACCCGCACCTGTCTGCTCGGATAGCGGTTAGATACCTCACAAACACCCTAAATGTGACCCGACATTTGGTCATGAATCAAATAATTTTTATCATCATTATCACTACTCTCTTTTATACAGTTCGAGCCTCGAGACATGAAGTCAGAAGGCTAACATCTCAGAGCATAGATGTGAGTGCGTGTTCACACCAGTACTACGCTCTACTGTGTATTTGACGAAACGCTGGGAATTAGAAAAATTAAAATTAAATGTGATTAAATCCGTAAAATTAAAGATTTTTTATGTTTATGCGAACACTACACTTTTAAATAAACCTAGTTTTTATGAATTTTATCGCGTATATTAACTTATTTTATATTCCCGACGTTTCGAGGGGGGGGCGGATAGATGTGAGAGGATGGCAATGTCCAAATGTCAACTATCTGTACCACAGATGCCCTTGCAAAAATTTTAGGTGGTGCGAGATCTCAAAATAGCGCCCTTCTATATATGTAAAACCTGTGGTGGTGGTGTTTTTATACTATGCAGTTGCTTATTCGTGATTATAAATAACAGGTAGGGGAAAAGGTTTTGTTGATATTTTGTTTGTATAAAATTGAAGAAAATCTCATTGGTTTTACTGTTTGTAAGTGGCTGGTTTTAATATCAATACATATATATATAGGACATTAAGAAAAATAAAAAGAAAAACACACTTTCCGCCATTTTTCAATTGATTTTTCTGTCAGCCAAAATGAGTAAATTTAACGAAGATTCTGAAGTTTTATTACCAAAAAAGGGAAAAATGCACCTCGTGCCGCGATAATAATTTGTGACGTTTATGAACCTAATGCAGTGTCAGCAAGAGTAGCATAAAGTTGGTTCAAGGGTTTTTGGTCCGGAAATTTTTATGTTAAATATGCAGTTTGCTCCGGTCGTCCTCTTACGGATAAAGCCGATGCCATTTTTGAAAAAGTGCAGCGAGATCGGCATATTAGTAGTTATGACATAGCCGAGGAATAAGAATATGATACACCTTCATAAAATTATCAGCCAATAATACAGAAGATTTGTGGTACTGGATTTCACTGTGATGTTTGAAATCATGTACAGCATCTTTCCATTTAGTGAGCGGCTGAGTAACTAAGAATTTAAACTGCTGATGAGAGCCTTTACCTGCGCAATCTATGGCAAATAATACACAATATTTGCATAAAGCACCTTGTCGTCCTGTACTCGTGTAAACCAACCATGTGTTCAAACCATTGCATTTGAATTTTTAGCTTTCTTTTGTCGTCACTTACTGGAAACTTAAATGTTTTTCTGGAATCCAAAGAGATTTCAATAATCTGTACTTTAAATCATCATCAATTTTGGTGTTTGATCCCGTATAATAGCCCACATCTAAAACATGCTGAGAAAAATCATCCATAGCCCCAGGAACGACAGCAGAAGTACCAGAACTACTTGTTTCAATACGGGTCACCTGATCGTCCGATGGTGGAAAGGAGAAGGAGGAATTAAAGCGTGCAATTCCTGCGCACACAAAATGCATCCTATAGAATACCGAGATGTTGGCTACTCTGCGTCCGTCCTTGAGGGTGACAAGGTTGATTAAAACCCTGTGGGATAAACTTTAAAAAAAATTACAATAATCGAGATGTTTCGAAACGGATATGGGCTGAATTTGCATTGGAAATGGATATAGCGATTCCGTAAAGAATATAACAAATGCAATGAACCAGGTAGATCCGGTGCTGCGGCGGATCACAAATTAACTTCGTGGATATATTACGAATCTTGGCGAAACAAATTACACCGAAAACTTTAACCGGAAATGTGCCTGAACCTCCCAGCCAAGAAACTGAAGATAATGCGGAGTCCTCATATTTTTTTAAGTATTCACCTGAATCACAGCCACAAACAGTACCGCAGCCTGGACTCTCACCTTTGTCGCAGCCCACGCCCGCGCCTTTGAAGCCTGGACCTTCATCTTTGTCGCAGCTAGGAGCTTTGAATTCGAGCCAAGCAGTATTCTCCACGTCACAACAACATACTAGACCACATACCAAACCTTTTACATCCAATCAACCTGGAAGACTTATGAAATAGAGAAATATTGATGTGGACCAAGAGTATTTAGAGATCGAAAAAAGAAAACTTCAATTATATGAGTCCAGGTCAGCAGATAAATCTGCAGATGATCCTGATCGTAACTTTTTGTTGAGTTTGCTTCCATACTTAAAAGAAGTGCCACGAAATAGAAAAATCTTTGTTCAACGAAAATTGTTAGACGTGTTCATGGAAGAAGAAAATACCCAACTTCAGTATTCTCCTGTAAGCCGTTACTCCGAAGAATTAAGTCGCTCCGATTCTGGAGACTGGTCATCAAATATGTCATTTCCTCCATGCGTTGTCAATATTGAAGAGCCTTTGCCACTGATCATTAATCAAATGACGCCTTCACAAACATCCGCATCCCCGAAGGGTCATTTGCCACTGACCATGACTCAAACGACTCCTTCACAATCATCAACATTATAATAATAATAATTTCTTTATTCAGGAAAAACATTATCAAGCTTATATTTCCCGCAATAGTGCTCTTTCTTATGGGACATTTTAACAGAAATCTTAATGATTAAGAAACTTACGTAAACATAATATATCAAACAGTATTATTTTTCTGTCGCATCCTAAGCTGGAAGCTTCAGGAAGCGGATACTAGGGACAAATATCACACGAGGGTAGCCGAAAAGCTTGACACCATCGATGGCAGGAAAGAATGTGTGGAGAGAACATGGCAGAACCTTAGGGATGGAATGGTAAGTGCAGCGGAAGAAGTATGTGGAACGACAAAAAGAGGTAGTAGTAAAAGAAGAGATGCATGGTGGAATGATGAAGTGAGAGAAGCTGTAAAAAAAAAGAAAAAAGCATGGTTAGACTACTTGGCCTCTAGTAACGATAAGCATATGAGAGAGAAGATGAAAGAAAGATATAAGCTGCAGAAAGTTCATGCGAAAACATTGATTGAGGAAGTACGTCAAAGGTGTAGAATAGAAGCGGACGAGAGGTTGTCGCATAACTTTAAGGAAAACTCCAAACTCTTCTGGAAAGAGGTTGGAAGGTCCCGGAGTGGTGCGACATCCTTAAGAATGAACAAAGTTCTTTCGAGAACCAATGACGTCCTCTCAGAAAAATCGGACGTCATGCAGCGATGGAGTGAATTTTATAGAGAAATGTATGCGTGTCATGATCTTAGTGAAGGATTCGGGGGTGACGCCGTGACTGGCATGCCAGACACGGACCTCGATGACACTGAGGTCATCAGCATGAAAGAGATTGAACGTGCGATTCGAAGTTTGAAATGTGGTAAGGCTGCGGGACTAGACAGAGTTGCTGCTGAAATGGTCAAGTACGGTGGGACTCGCGTCTGGGACAGCTTTCATCTGCTGTGCAATTTGTGCTGGCGGACGGGAGGTGTCCCGAATGACTGGCGATCCGCGGTCATTGTGCCTTTATATAAAGGTAAAGGATCACATTTTGACTGCGGGTGCTATCGGACGATCAGCCTGACCAGTTTAGCAAGTAAAGTTTACTCGAAGGTTTTGACACGTAGGATGCAAGAGAAATCGGAAAGATTCTTATGGGAGGCACAATGCGGATTTAGACCTGGAAGAGGATGCACGGATCAAATGTTTTCTCTCCGCATGATCACGGAGAAGCTTCTGAGTGTTAACCAGAAGATTTTCTGTGCTTTTGTGGATCTGGAGAAAGCATTTGATAAGGTTATAAGGAAGAAAATGTGGGAACTGTTGCCGGGATATGGTGTGGATGGTCGATTGTTAAGGGCTGTGCAGTCACTTTACTATGACTGTAAAGCCTGTGTGAGGGTAGGGCATGACCTGCCACCCATGTTTAGCATCCAAGCGGGCGTAAAACAGGGTTGTGTCATGTCTTCCTGGCTGTTCATACTGTATCTCGACAGCTGTTTACAGAAGCTGAAAAATAGCTGTTTGGGTGTGAAATTGGGTGACATTAAAGTTAATTGTCTGCTGTATGCTGATGATGCAGTGCTTATTGCACCATCAGAAGCAGAACTGCAGGCATTAGTCACGTGTATGAAAGAGGAATGTGAAATTAAAGGTCTCCGTTTGAATGCTAATAAAACTAAGGTTCTGGTATTTGAAAAGGACGAAGAGAGAACGAAATGTGAAATATGGGTAAATCAGGAATGTCTAGAACAGGTAAATGAAATTGTATACTTGGGGAGTGCTTTCAGCCGGGATGGAAGATGTGATTTAGATGTGGATAGGCGTGTCGCTGCCGGAAACAAAGTCAATGGTGCCCTGAATGCATTAGTCAAAAGGCAAGGTGTGGTGAAGAGTGCACGCCTTGCAATACATAACGCAGTGTTGGTACCGACTTTGTTATATGGCAGCGAAACCTGGGTATGCCAGAAGAAGCATAAAAGCAAGTTGAATGCAGTGGAGATGCGATCTCTTCGTAAAATGTGCGGCGTTACCATAGCCGACCGAAAGCGAAACGAAGAGATTCGCAATATGGCAGGATTGAAAGATGACCTTATCACAAAAATTGATAGGGGCGTACTCCAATGGTTTGGGCACGTTGAACGAATGAGTGAAGACCGAATGGTGAAGAAAATATATAGAGCGAAAGTAAATATTAAAAGGTGTCGAGGTAGACCGAGACTAACTTTCGAAGACCATGTGAGCAAATTGCTCGAAGAGGGGAGGGTCAAGAGTACTCGGATACCTAGACGTGCATGTATGAAGAAGTTAATGAACCTGAAAGAAGCGAAAGAGGTATGTAAGGATCGTGACACTTGGCGATCTGTTCTCTCTGGCTACCCCGTTAGGGAATGTGCGTGAAGATAAGTAAGTAAGTAAGGAAAAAAATTATCAAGCTTATATTTCCCGCAATAGTGCTCTTATGGGACATTTTAACAGAAATCTTAATGATTAAGAAACTTACGTAAACATAATATATCAAACAGTATTATTTTAAAGTATTAAAATTAAACCTAAATATATAAGTTAGTTTTTAAGTGTTGAGTTTAAATTGTTCCTTTCGTATGTGTGTATGTGTTTTGCGTGTTTGTGAAGGTTTTTCCTATTCATTAAAGTAATTATTATAATAAGAAGATATAATTTAATAGTATATTAATTATACATTATAAAAGTAATTCAGTTATTTACGGATTTCAATAATTCTTCTGTTTCATCATTTACGTGGTAGATCCACGCTGCGGCTATTATGGTTGTACCTAGCATGAATGGGTGGAAGAATGGGAAAGGACCACGCTGTCACAGAATAACTGCGTAAAATAGTAGCTTAATGCTGCTGTGTTTCGTATGTTAAGTGTAGAGAAGTGGACCGTGTGCTCGTTTGTCACCCTATCCTATAAAAAAATCTAGTTTTTGGAGCCATTTGAATAGGGTTTTTTTTCATTGATTCTTATTTAAAATGTATAAGTTTAGTTGCTTATTTATTTTATTGTACAAGAATGGACCAAGAAAACAAAAATATTTATGTACATAGGAATATTCAAAGGTAAATAAAATTTTTATTAAAAAAGCTTTGAAATTGCTTTTGAATAAATTTTCTTTTTATATAGTGTAATTAATTGCAAACAGTATGGCACACTTTGTCTCACTAAAATTTAGTAACACGTGTTGTTTTAAAATAGTAAGATAAATGAATAATGGAGAAAATAACAAGGTTACAATATTAGACTTTTAAGTACGTAGGTAAGAAGTCTAGACCAAACACATAATTCTAGTTTTTATTTTACATCGATCGGTGCACTATTACGGAAGTTATAAGCGTGGAAAGTTTAAGTAGATTTTTAAAATCTCGCCCGTGCCCGCGAATAGCGCGTGACGTCATCGATTCCATGCGACCGCGCCGCCATACCGTTCCAGCGCGCCGATCATACGTTTGTAGTAATATTTCGTGGGTGAGTTGTTTGCCCTCGTGCGCTCTGGTGTTTTTAAGTATTTAATGATGGAAGAAGGATTTCAAAAGGGTCAATCTGACAACCTTCCAATAGTCCGTAATATGATGGTGGCGGAATATTTTCTAAGAAACAAAGATTTTGTCGCGACTGAAATACGCATAAGAATAAGATAATATTTTTATAACCTAGGTACCCATTATTACATTAATACTTCTGGGTTTCATTTGCTAATGATAAGAATAGGTATAACAAAAATACGTAAACATTCCTTACCTACCTACTTACTATCTGCCTCTAACTAGTTTTGTTTTCTTATTCTCCTTAAGTGCACCCTGACCTTTTTGTAGTTTTTATGGTTAAAAAAATTTCCTGTTGTTTATTAAGAAATTTACTACAAATATACCTTCGGTGTGTAAAAATATGATTTATCTAAAAATCAGATGTTTTCAATATTAATAGAAAAAGGGTCGCATTATTATTATGATTAAAATCGTAGTTATATATTCTTCAGGCAAGGGATCAATGTCAATATTATCATCTAGAGTAGTAACAGGATCGACAACATATCTATGCTCAATTTCTTGTGAAGTATTGGCAATCGCATGTTCAACTGTTTCTGACCTAGATTTGGCATTTAGTTTTGATAGTAAACATCTTTGTGGTTTTTCTGTATACCGATTTTGACAAGCAAACTTGTGAGGCAAAACATATTTTTTAAGTTTGAGGGGACAACTAGTTTGCACTTCACGTAGTTTTCCATATCGTTTTCGACCTAAAACAAAATACAAACTTATTTAGTCTATAAAAAAATAAGGAACCTCGTAATTTGTATTCCATCAATATTTAAAATATGGTATTGTATAAACTATGTAATACATAAAAATAGGACAACACGAAAAAAAAATTTAAGTGCTGCACTTCATAATCAAACTTCTTCCATTATTTGCGGCCCCCAAAGTATGCAGGTTGAACAGCTCTGCGATGTGTTTAGTTTTTGCTCGAAATATCGTAAAAATATAAAAACGTTTGTTAACATATTCCATATCTTAACCTTTATATGCATTATAAACATTTTAAAATTTGCTGCAAACATAGGTAGGTCTATCTAACTTTACGAACTCACGACAGGTCA